ATAGGTGTACCCATGACTCAAATAGTGTTTGTTGTACCCATGTGGTAGGCTTTTGTCCCTCCCCTTCTTCTCCCTCCCCCATTTCACTCAGGTGTCCAAATGTGTTTGCAACCTTTACAAAGTGCTCATTTTCACCTAAAATGCATTTCTCTTTGAGAACTCCATATTCAAAAAGCTATTGCAAAATCTCAATTTTCCTTAATCATCACCAATCTCTTTCTCTCTCCTATCTTTCCTTCTCTCCCTCCCTCCGTCACTCCCACCCCCTTTGCTTCCTTCCTTCCCTCTCTTCCTCTCCCCTCCCTCCCTTCCTTTTTTTGAGACAGTATTACTCTGCCACCCTGAGTAGAGTGCCATGCGTCATAGCTCACAGCAACCTTAGGCTCTTGGGCTCAAGCTATGCTCATCTCAGCCTCCTGAGTAGCTGGGACTACCCCCACCACAAGGCCCAGCTAGTTTTCTCATTGTTAGCAGAGCAAGGTCTCATCCTTGCTCAGGCTGCTCTCTAACTCCCAAGCTCAAGGTATCCTGCTGCCTCAGCCTCCCAGCGTGCTAGGATTACAGGTGTGACTATGCCCAGTCCACAAATCCCTCTTTAAAGGACTGGGGTCTTAAATATGCAAATGTTCTAATACTATAGCAGTAATCCTTTGCTACTGGTCTGGTGAATATTTTCAAGGAGAAAAATCAGTGTTTCATTGCTTTACAAATTAATCTCAACTGCACAAGCTGTTCAGAGATTCTATAGAGCCTCTTGCCAGGTCTTCACAACTATGAAAGACATTTAGCAGGTATTTAAATATGCAGCCTATAATCACCCACTTTGTTTGAATTAATTTGAGCATTATTTTAATTTCATATGGAAATGAAGATGTTGAAAAATACATATGGCCGTTATATATCGTTTATAATATATAGATAGAGATGACATTGTACACTCCATAAAAAATGGGCTTTATGAAATGTTTCCATCATGATGTATTGCAATTCCTTCGTGTTCCAACCTGTTAAGTCAAGAATTCTTGTTAAGTGTTATAGACCAGTGAAAAGAACTGTAAGACACAATAAAACACTTCATGCTTTTAAATTAGAAATATACTTAATGCTAAGAAGACACTTGAGGATTTTGGTTGTTTAGATGCAATTTCTTGTAACAGAAGGAAATGGAAAATTCCAATTCCTTAAGACTACACAAACTCTTCCACAAAAATAATTTGCTGTATTTTTTATTAGCGTGTTTATTATAGGTAGCTGTCCTACATTTTCTATCTCCATCAGAACATTCATTTTGCCCTTCCCACTCGCTCTGACTTTCCCAGTCTTTCTTTAACTGTAATTTTCAAGGCCACAATTCCCAAATATCTCCATGGAAGGGAGCGTCTGTGCTCTGCTTTTCCCACAGGTGTTGGGAGTAACGAAAAAATGTATGTGGGTGTTTGACTACTGTGTCATGTCTCTTCACAATCCACGGCTCCTGCCTGTGCTCTGGAGATCAGGTCTGGCTTAGAGGCAGCAAGACCCAGGGAGACCAGGTTTCTGCAGTTCTCTAATATCACATCTCTGCACAAATTCCTTTGAGCAGGATCCAAAGGAATCCTGAGAGAATCACCCACTCCTCCAGAGAGAAGTCTGTGGCCACATCCCTGAATGCTAACAATCCCTGAGAGTCAGCCATTTCTTCCTCTTCCTCCTCCTTCTCTAGGATTCTTCCTCAGGCGGGATTATCTGGACACCTCACAGCTGCATCTGGAGAATATGCATTTCAAAGCATCAGCACAGTCCCTCCATCTGTTATTACCCCAACTTGAGGCAGAAGGACCTTAAGTAAAGGCCACAGTACTGTCCTTTGTCACAGGAGAAATTCAGGAAAAATTCAAAAATTAATTTCCCAGCACCCATGGTGTCCCAGAGTCCTCCCTATGGACCTCCCAGGGTAGGTCCAGGGTAACAGAGGTTGTGGCAGAGAAACCTGGTCTTTCCTGGAGTTGGATCAGGACAAAGGACCCCAGCTCAGTCCCCTGTGGAAGAGACCAACTTGCTGTATTGTTTAAATCCAAAGTCTACCTTTCCAATTGTTTTTAAAGTTACTTGATTAATTACCAATATTGCTATTATTCATACATGAATAGATTATACTAAACTGTTACCTTTTTTCTTTATAGTTAATTGAAATAGAAACTACTGAACTGCCATTCTGTGAAATATTGGGAGTCATCCACGTCCAACTGGCTGCCAGATTCTATAAATTCATTTGCAACTCCATGCTTATTGAACAACTACTATAATCCAGGCATGGTTCTAAGTGCCAGGAATACAGATCTGAAGATGGTGATCTGCTAACCTCCACAGGAGTGTTCTTGGGGGCAAAACAAAATGGTAGCTATAACCATATAATGCCAAAAGCAGAGCAGTTAAAGAGATGCTAATAATTTGGCAGGGGGTGGGGAGCATAAGGATGGTAACTAGAGAAAGTGACAATTGAGCTGTTTGAAAAGATAAACAGATTTCATTACACAGGTAAGGGAAGGAGGAACTGAATGGCATTTTGATAAGAGGTTCAGATCATAGGAAAAAGCATGGGCTACAAAAATTGCAAAAATATGGGTACAAACAGCCGAAGCATGAAGTACTAAGGTCTGACAATAAAATTCACAAGCCCATCCCAGAAAAAGCTCTGAACCCTCATTGTTGAATATCACTACAAACACCTTCAAAGTACTCCTCTTGGGAAGTTATGCACCGATGTCAAGGCCTAATCCATCCTTCAAAGCAACTGTTTTCCTGGAATGGCCCTCAGAGCTATTGCCGTATTACCCCTGATGTCCTGAATGTCATCAAAATGTCTTCTTTTGAATATTTCCTTTATCTTCAGGTAGAGAAAAAAGTCATTGGGAGCCACATCAGGTGAGTAGGGAGGGTGCTTGCTCCAATACTTATTTATTAGCCGAAAACTCCCACACAGACAGGGCCGTGTGAGTCCTTTGCTTTTGTTCATTGGTGAGCTCCTTCAGGACCACTTCTGCATACACCTTTTTCATGCCGTAATTTTTGGTTAAGATTTTCCTGTTTCTGTATTGATGTTTAATTGGTCTGCTATGCCTCTCACGGTCAGCCGACGATTCTGATGCACACTTTGACAAGTTTTTATATTTTCATTAGTTCTGCTGTTGCCCTGACCTCTCTCTTCATCATTGACGCTTTCTCTCCCAGAAAAATGTTTACCCTATTTGTACTCTTCTGTTTTTTTTTTTTCATGGCAATCTCCCTATAAACTTGGACTCACGTGCCCCTGATTTCACTTCCACTCTCGCCAAGCTTAACAAGAAATTGAATGTTTGTTCATTACTCTAATTCAAGCTCCAACATTCTCGTGAGGCACTAAAAAACAACGAAGAATGCCACCCAGCAAGACACCGCCACATGTCAACACAAACATGGTTGTGAGACACTGATATACCAAAGTTATGAAACCTTCCTGAGCAGTCGTACAGAGCTGCCAATGAACGCGCATGGTGGTGAGTTTGCGAACTTAATTTTCAGAACTCACATAAACGGAAAGGAGATGGCAAGAGTGGGAGGTGGAGTAAGACTATGAAAGACTTATATGCCAATTTAAGGGAATTAGACATTATTTTGAAGGCAAATGGACAGAAAAGATAGAAAATAAAATGAATTTCAACGTAGGGAGAAGCATGATCAGGATTATTTTTAAGAATGAAAACTGCCAGGAACGTGAAGAGACTAGAGGAAAAGAGAGACTGGACACGGAGATCCTGTAAGGTCTTGTAAGGAGACATCAAGGCCTGAAGTAAGTAGTACCAGAGGAAATGTGAACGGGAAGCTGGATCTGAGAGGAAATACTCAGTTGACCAGGATGCAGTCTAGCATAGTGGTATTGACCACAGCCTCAGAGCTGGACATTCATTTGCCTACTGTGTAAATAAAACCCGGGAAGGAAGCCAATCTAACCATCCATTACCTCAACCAATAAACACAGAGAAAACCAGTATGTTCTTCATAGGCCTGTTGTGAGGATTTTGTGTATGTGTGTCATTTAGCATAATGCACAGTGCGAAATAATACTGTTACTATTATTCCTGCAACTACCAGCGAGGAGAGATTGAGAATGACTGCCAAGTAGTTCTTGAATTGGGCCTACTTCTGCTTTTCAATCCCACAGCTAGGACCCCTGTAGACTGGTGAGTGTTTCTCAAAGTGTGGTCCCCAGACCAGTGGCAGCAGCCTCCTGTAAACTCATCAGAAATGCAAGCGCTCAGACCTCACAAAGAACCACGTCTCAAAACTCTCAGGCTGGGGCCAGCAATCTGTATTCTAACAAGCCCTCCCAGGTAATTGTGTCATAAGTGTGAGAAGTGCTGATTTCAACATTCATTATCTCTAATCTGAACTTTTATTATTTATCAGTCTCTTAAAGTGTCCCTCCTAAGTCTTTCCCTTAAATTTACCATCTAGATCAGTCATTGCCTTCCTAAAATAAACCTGCCAGTGCCCCTCCTAACACAGAGTAACATATGAATATCACCTCTAAGTTTTACAAAATGTTGGGCAAGTTTACTTAACCTACTTGAGCCTCAGTTCTCACCTGTAAAAAGGGAGCATTATATACACCAAAATAACTGATGGTGGTTTCTTTTTACTACTGCACCTACAATCTCACTGGGTCCTCATGACATAAAAATACAACTAATATCAATATTAAGACCCCAAACTCCTAACTCTGAATTCTAGCTCTTTTTATCACATCAAGCTGTCACAATATCAGAAACATTATTCCAAAATACAAAATTACATTTCAGTATTGTCAAGTTGATACGCTATTTCCAAAGATGAAAAATCATACTTGTTAGAACCAAACAGTTGGGATTACATGGACACTTTTTCAACAGTAGTTTTTAGTAAAAATTAAATCCTAAAAATAAATACATTTATCTTTTACTCATTTATACCGAATATGGAAATAGTGAAGATAAAAAAGCAACTTCTTTATTTTTAAGCTTTATTTTATCACTCTTATCAAACACACATCAGAAAGCATATCAACAGTGCATCTTATGGTAACGTCAGTTTACACCAAAACTGAACAAGGCAATTGTGTTTACAGAAAAAGTTTTCAGCAAAAAAGTACGCAATACAGTCAATTAAAATGCAGTGTTCATACTTTTTAGTTATATAGGAAAGTGGAAAATAAAGTCTTTTGCTACCCAACAAGAAAAAACAAGGTTAAAAGAAATTTAGGGATTTGAGAAAACAACTTCCTGGTTCTGACATACATCTACATTTATAGTCCACTCAGTTATTTAATTAAAAAAAGAAACCTCACAAACAATAAGGCATCACAAAGAACAGAGAACCATAGTGCCAAGAAATGCCAAGACCAATATGCAATTGGAACTGGAAAAAGGTTACAGACAGCTATCCACTATGTACTGTAATATTCTTGTGGTTCTGAGGTGAAGGTAAACCACCAGGAGAGAAGACTCCTTATAACTGGCTTTGGTTTAAGTGATAGTTCACATTTTTTCTAACTATACCTTCTTTTCAAAAACACAGTAATTACATGTTACTGAGGGAACACAGTACTAGGTTTTTATATTCACAAGCAACCACTCCAGTGCTGACACAAGACACCATAGTTAACATTTGTTGACCATTAGTGGATTTCTGGGAGTGATCCAATGATAGCAAAGATGGAGCCCTTTTTGGGAAAAATTAAGTCCCTTCCACCCCAGATTTGACACTGTTAAGAGGATATAAAGGAATGTTAAATTATTTAAGATTTTTCAAAAGAAAATTAACTATGAAAGAAGAAATCCTGCTGGAAAAGATAGGACAGTTTACACTTTGCAAAGTAAATTTTCTAAAGACGTACAGACTTTTTTCTTTTAATAAATAAACACTACTTAGCTCCATAAGGTGCTGTAATTTTGCAGCCAGTGCTTACTAATGCCACTCACTGTACCCAATGTGCAAAGGGCAATACAGAGATGGCTAATCCCAGTTTCTTTCTGATCCTTGACCTGCATGAGTGGTAACTTACACAGAATACAAAAAAGCTGGAGTACAAATATTTATTTGTAAGAATTAGGCCAAAATGACTATGGATATGTAATCCAGTTTCACAAACTCTTAAAATAATTTTCTGGGGAAACAATAATAAGGAATGTGTGGGAAAGGCAATATTTCTGTGCCACAAGTACCAAATCTAGATTATTAAAAATAAATACCATTTTTAGATCACTAACTGAATGGAAGATTACTAATACCAGTAAGGGAGACATTTTCTACCCCTCTCCCCTTGTTTTATTACCTATCTTTCTCCTCCTTATTCTTTAATTTGGCAGTCTCTGACTACCCATGCTAGTGCGATAATACAGCTACATAATTCAATTAATTGAAGAGATGTTGTGTCTCTATATGCATGATTATAGAATACTTCACCACATTTGCTTTTATACATTTAATTGTCCTGATATCATGTATATTATTAAGAGGTGATAACTTAGAAGGGGAAGGCAATTCCAACTTGGAATCAAAAAGTGATTATAAATAATTCTCTTGCTGACAATCAAGAGCTTATGGCAGCAAGCAGGGTTCCCCTCCAGAAAAAGTAGGTATTAATCCCCACCAAACCCCCCAAAAGTAAAATGAACAACTCTAGTTGTTTTTATTTTTTTCCCCCAGAATGTGACTTATTCTCATTATACAAAGTAGTAAAACAAAACAAGCTCTCTTCTTCTTCTTCACAAGAATTAGCGATTATATGTATTATGAGGCAAGTAAAAATGTTTTTCTTTGCCTTTAAATTAAGACACTATGAGCCTAGGTCACAAAACAAAGATGGCTTTTAGAAGAGCTATCACTTGTTTTCAGGGTACTGTGATAGCTACTCAATGTAATGGGAAATAACACCTGGGCAATCATTTGATTAGTTTCCCATGAATTCCAGCTTTTGTACCACAACCACAACTGTCTTGATTATGACAACTCTCTGAAAAGCACAAATAAAGCAAATTTAAAACATTAATCCTCAGAAGTAGTATAAGGAACAACGAAAGTGCTGAGCTGTAGGAAAATGAATAAAAACTTCCTATCAGAATAAACTTTGTGTAAACTATGTATCTTATACCCTTAAGATCACCTTAGTGACCACCTATAAAATATAAAATTTCCTAAATGCTCTCTGGTTATAGACATTTCTTTTACAGCCAATTTCTCCTATAAAATTACAGCAAAAAATAGTTAAAATTATATTTACTTTCTTCTTAAATATCCATAGTACTTACTTGTCAACTGCATGCCACTATATGAATCTCCTGATCATCATGTAATTTAAAAAATAGTGAAAACCATCTGGGGCAAGTGGCTAATATAAGAAACAGGATGTATCCTGCAGTATCAGGTAGATAAACAGCTAACTAAAACAAAACAAAGCAAAACAAAATCTTTAAAATTCTGAGTATTCTAAAAACTAACATATCCATGTTTGCCTATGATTAAGAATGGAATTTACCAAATATACTACAAGAGGCTCAGATGAGCTCCATATGATGGAGATGACATTTTTATATTCATTGAGAAAGCTAGTAATTGATACTAACTTGAAAGATTACCATCTCAAAATAAAGGTGATTTACTGAGCACCTTAAGAAGAAATGGGAATTCCTTTGAGTTAATTGTGACCAAGGACTGGTCTGCATGTGACCATAATTGACAATAAATAAATAAATAATATCAGAGAGAGCTACAGTAATAAGATTTGAGGAAAGAGCCTGATATTAAAAATGGAACTAGATACAAGGAAGAATTAAATTCTGCCAGATAACTCCGGCTTTTCCATCACATGTAATATCAGAATAAAATCAAATAGTTTTACGCACACACAAAAAAGGTAAACCAAGGATATTTTGGACTTTTATACTGTGACTCAATCCAAAAGTTATTTTAAGGGAAAGGCAGAGGTGCAATGAATTACCATCATCTGTGAAGCTTTTACCCAAATGAATTTTAGTATTTTCCAGGAAACAAAAGGCACTTGCTTAATCTACCTATATGTCTACCAGACCAAAAGTCATCACATGATTCCACCTGTACCCTAATCTGAATATAGCCACCTAGCATATACCCTTGCATAAGAGTCTTGATAAACACATGGTAACTGTTTCCCCCACCCTCTCACGCAGTAACTATGTTACTAAAGTTATTACCCGTTACCATGGTGCTGATTTTTACTAAATTAATTGTAAAAAATAAAATTTCATGCTGCCAAGTGAAACTAATAGTAGAAATTTGTAAAACAGGCCTAATTTAATACAGTCAGAAAATAAGACCTATGAAAATGATGCCAAAATGTTAGTTACCTGTAGTTGATGAATAAAATCAAACGAGCCGTGAAGGGCTCTGATAAGTGCTCTACTTCTGCCTTTAATTTAGTCCAGGAATCTAAGTGATGCCCTCACCAGGGTCAAGTCCAGTGTAGTAAGATAGAGAAAGGCACATCTCCAGAGTTTCTCTTCAGCTTCCCTTACATGGCAGTACTGTTTCTGGCAGCATTCCTTCTCATAAATTTGCTTAGAAGTTAAAATGTAAGTAACATGAATCTAGAATGCAAGTTAAATAAAAACTCAGAGATTTTCTTTTGAAGGTTAATTTAACATTATCTCAGTATCTTTAGTAGCTGGACTACCAAAAAGGCAATATTTTCTCTCAATGAAAACAAAGAGAACGATGAAAATAACCATATTTATGGTTTCTTTTCTAAAAGCAGCTATAGTTTTGGCTCAAGACATAGTAGAAAGGGAATTTCTCTAAAGAGAATTGCTATATTGATGGCCCAAAACCAAGGAAGACATCCAGTGGTAATAAATACAGATCTCTTATTGCAAGAGGATAATATTTTTAAATTCCTTTAAAAGGTAGCCAATACTTACTTCTAGCTAGTGCTCTTACTGAAATGTCTGACTCTACTTGTTCTTCTCTAAAACAGCATTACAGTTTTGCTAGCAGCTAGCTAGCCACCTCCAAGTATGTTTCTAAAGAATCAAAGATTTTCTATAGAATAATCAGTTTATATGCCTTTTTGGATGCAAAATGGGCCACAGCAACACCACAGAACAATAAAAAAGTAACTAAGAAGTTAAGAGGCAAGGAAGTACAGGTATTTACAAATGAAAGGCAAGGAAGCACAAGAATTAATTTAGAAAAAGAAAAACTACCTGAGATAAAATTTGCCACAAAAGGTCGGGGTTAAATGACAGGAACCCTCACCTCATTACCCTGACTCTCAAAAGGAAACTTTCAAAATTTTCAATAACTTTATGAAATCAAAATCCCTGTGTACATATTTCATCTTAAAGGAATTATGAAAATTGCATTTTCTGATAGTATTTGGTTCAGGTTTAAGAAAGACATTAAGTAATCTTAGAAGGGAGGGAGAACCTGCCAACGTTTCTTTGGTAGAATGGGCTAAGAGTTATAAAACGACAATCTGAAACATGGGAGGCATCTTTTTTCAATCCTGTGGCTTTAACATAAAGTATTTAATTCAATGCGTGGTTAATTCAAGGCTCATCAATTATTCCCTCAACTCCCTTAAAATCTAGTTTGCATCTTCTGTAAAAATATTCTACAGTGTTAAACACTAAATATACATATGACTCTATCAACAATAAGATGATGATGAGAAAGAGTGCTGGGAAGTTCAGCATCAAGATGTTAGCAGCACACTGCACGACTAAGCTTAGAAGCCTCACCTGCAGTTTATTTGTAAGGGTTTTTCTTTTCAGGAAGGGGGGAGAGAAAGTTACAGGTACTAACCTAGAACACTTGCCCTCAAAAAGAACTCAATAGTATTCTGTGTTCATCAGAACACATGTAAAAACCTAATGTTTCTCATCACCACAAAAGCTGCTACCCATACAAACATTTATGTTTTAAGAGAGCTTAGGTCTTTACGATCCTGGTTCTACTCTCTTGAATTTTGAATTGTAATCAAACTAATTAATCTCTGAAAAGTCCAAAATAAAACATAATAGTTATTCCTTCTAAGGGCACATATTAAGGACCATCCAAGACCCTTTGGTAATTCATAAATCAGCCTCCTTATACCAAATTTGATTACACAATAAATATTAAGAGACCTCAGTAATTTGGTAACTATAACTAAAATGTCAAAGGGTGGTTGTTTGAAAGGGGGAAAGAATTCATTCTCTAAAATGTAAATTCTAATTGGACTCTCAGTAATCTGCATGGCACACACAAGGAAAGATTATATGAGGAGGCTCAAAGCAGGGAAAGATTTTAAAACACATTTTTCCTTAGGAAAAATAATAAATAAAAATTTCATTCAGGTAAGGAAAACAGGCAAAAAGTTCATAACCTGTATACGATTTGTCTTTTTTTGTGTATAATCAGTGCTTTATAAAGTTTCCTAATTTTTATACCTTTATAGACAATCTACCACAAAGTGAGAAGAATCCATAATTATAATTCTTAAAACCATGTCATTAACCTGGGTCCAAGAACTAATGCAGACTGACATCCTCGTCTCAGGGACATATTAGATTGTTGTAAGTCTTCTAAGAATTCTTCTGAAGTTTTCTTCCTTTCTACTTCTACCTTGTCCTATCTATATGTTTCTTAACTTCTTGCAGTCAAAAGCCAGACTACCCAGGATGCCATTCCTCTAGCTTTTCTTTAGCTACCGACAGAGGCAGAGAAGGAGGGAGAGGGAGAAGAGGGAAGAGACAATGAAGAGACAGAAAGGAAGAAAAAAAGAATCCTGATTACTCACCCTCTCTTTGACTATTTTTCTTTTTCCTTCCACTATATCTTTAGAAGAAAGAATTTTCCATAGTAGCAAAAAGAGCCACATCTTGAGAAATCTTACAACTTTAGGAGATTCAGCACAAAGACAATGAGCCAATATAAGGTCTAAAGTACACTGAAAGGGGGAGACAATTCACAAGGAGCAAAACCTTCTTTTTGTTACAATCACTCTGAGAGCTTCAACGTTAACTCTAGGCTAGACTCCAGTTTGCTCTGAGCCTCTCAGGAATGGACTGTTTCATCATTTACATTCTACCAGACTGACCAACTCTCAAAAAACATACACTAAATCTTACAGATGTGAAACCAGGTGGGGGAAAGATGGGTGTAGACTGTCTTAGCTCACAAGATTCACACTATAAAGTATACTGACTCAAATTTTCCCTAATCTTTCACATTTGCACACCCACTCAAGCATACATACTAGACATAAAAATTGTGCAAGATCAAGCATCAGCTTTCTATTTTAAAAAGCCTTAATTAAAAAAAAGTAGTAGATAGGCTCACTGCAGTTTCTTTAAAGGAATAGTCAGTCATACAGTACTCCTTTAAAAAGATTCACAACTCAGTGTTAAGAACACAGTAGGTAACTGCTGCTTGACAATTACTTAACATTACTGAGAGCATCCAGTGCCAGCTCTGATACTCTGGTATCAAAATAAGGAAGAACCACCTGTCAACATAAAGAAACAATCTCTAAGTAATGTCACCAACCTTAACAACTTTGTTAATAATATTCACTACAACACATTCACGCTTGCTTTATGGTCACGGAAAATAATTAGTATCTTTTTAGATTATATAGTGAAGAGCAGCACCTGCCCTACTGCACAAGAAAAGGCTGCCCACATGGATGCTCTACGCCCCTCAATGTATAGCTGAGAGGTCTTGTCCTACTCAGTGCCAAACGTCTGCGATGCAGTCACTGCTTGGGCAATGGCTGCACATTAGGAGGATTAAATAAATGTAAAAAGTACCCCCTTAAAATGGGAGGGGGGACTCCTGCATTCAGATGTGGAATACAATAACCCAGGAAATGGAAGAGGAGAAACAGGAAACGGTCCTTAGGTTACTGGTTAAAGCAAGGTTTGATACAGATATCCCCTCTTATAGGCACTCAGCGGGTAGAATGTAGCCACAACAAACTTCCCATCAAACATCCTTCCAGTCAGTAATTTCTGAGCAGCTTTGGAATCACCAGCGTTTGCATACTCCACGAAGACCTAAAAGTAGACAGAGAAAACAAAGTAATTTCATTTCCACCAAGGTTTTAAGATCACTGCTTTAGCAACTCGAATGTATACCTATCACTTGGGAATCCTGTTAAAATACAGAGTTTGCTTCTATAGGTCCAGGTGTTCAGACTGCAGCCCTTGGACCATATGCAGATTATTTAAGAACCATTTAGGTATCTGTGGTGTTGGATATCACAAAAAGTATGCACAGATCTTTTCTTTGGCTCATCAGTTTTCCTTAGCATCTTTGTATTTAATGTGTGGCCCAAGGCAACTCTTACTCTTCCAACTTGAAGGAGAGACAAAAAAAGGCTGGACGACCCTGGAACGTAAGGCTGTTTCTGCATTTCTAAACAAACTCCCAGGTGATACCAATGCTGCTGGTCTAGGCACCATGCTTTAGAACAGTGAGGTTTAAAATACTTTATAGGTCAGTTCAATTCTAAAAACTTCATCAAAGACAAGTTGAGGGAAAGATGTATAATCTTTCACCATGCTCACACAAGAGTGATGTACAGTACTAGCCACTTGCCCAAAGTAGGGCTGAAGTGCAGAGAGCACTTCCTCACTTCTTTCAAATCTTGACTCAGATGTAACCATTTCAGGACATCTTTCCTAGTACCCTACTTAGAAGTGCGACTCACCTGACCCTAGTACTCCTTCAGCCTCTTTCTCAATCTACTTTTCTCCCTAGCACTCATCACCAATTTTTTGTCTGACTTGATCACTGTTCAGTGTGTAATGATGAGTGCCTAGAATAGGACAGATGCTCAATAAATATTGGTTAAATGACAGAACAGTATTTAGCATGCTCCTGACACTGAATAAGGCAAATGCTATCTATTATTACTTGATGGGCAATAACTATTCATTAAGACCAACATAAATGTAATATTCCTTAAGGTGCCATGAATTTTCATAACATTAAGCTATAAGATAAAATAATAATCCACAACCAGAGTCAATTTTATCCCTCAAAAGACATTTGGCAGTGTCTACAAACACTTCTGGTTGTCGGAGTGGGGGTGGGGGGGTAGAATTCAAGGGTAGAGGCCAGGGATGCTGGTAAACATTCTACAGTGCACAGAACAGCTGCCCCAAAGAAAACCATCAGGCTCAGATGCCAATAGTATCAAGATTAAGAAAGCTTAAGATAAGGTTAAACAATATTCTGTTTCTCAAAAATAAAAAAAAAAATAAAGATTTTCTTCTTCTTTTTTTTTTTTTTTTAGAGACAGAGTCTCACTCTGTTGCCCTCAGTAGAGTGCTGAGGTGTCCAGCTCTTGGACTTAGGCGATTCTCTTGCCTTAGCCTCCTGGGTAGCTGGGACTACAGG